TCTTTCCCTCTGTAGACTGCAGGAAATCAGAATTCAAACTCTCACCTGTCCAGACTAAGCTCTGTTTGTCCTGCACCACGTACCAGTCCAATTCCAGGGAAAGCAGCAGCAAACCCAGGGAAAACACCCGGAACAAACCCATCCTTTCACTTGTACCTGACAGACACTGAGGCTGAGAGTTTTGCCGTGTTTTTGGCAATGTATCAAGAAACAAATGAGAGGGGAGAACGCAGGAGAAGCAGTGTCTGATCAAATCAGGTGGTCAGTTCTGACTCATCGCATCACCACCACCACCGAGCATATTGCAAGTGTAACAAATGTACTAACCAACACCAGTGGTGGTGCTTCTGGGACAATACACTGCCTGCGTTTTGACTGTTACTGTTTTTAAGTAGTCTTAAGATTTGTGATTTGTACAACAGCTACTGTGACAGTAGTTATAACCCACGTTACTGTCCACTACTAGCTAGTGTAAAGATATACTTACCATACCATTTTACAGCATGAGCTTTAAAAAAGCTCAAATAATTTTCAGGTGTGATGAGTAGACCATTTCAGAAGATTAAGTAGTATTTTCTCATCTTAATTGTGGGGGATGGCTGGAGATCTTATGGAAACGTCAGGAATAAGACTACACCTTTATTTTGCTGTAAGGTTCACTCGTGTTGATGTGTGCCATTAGAAGAAACACTAACAACATATCAGCTGATTTCAGCTATCAGACCAAACATTGAACACTCATGAAACAGCATAAATGCTTACAAATCAGCTGAGCTTTTCACACATGCGTGCACATACACAGGGACACACACAGCTATTTTAAACAAAAAACCCCCAAATCTCAAGCACCGAGAAAACTTCAAAGTATTAAACCTGTAACAAAAGAAACTTACAGATGATTAAGGTGCACACAGCTGTATTTTCAGGTCAAACTTGAAGCCACATGTAGTAGAAAGAAGGTCTTAACTGTGAGATTTAGACAACAGCAGCCTAATTCTTTTTTGACTATTAAGTTTTCTGTTATCAGATTGGAGATAAACTTAAGTTAGTAGTTCCAATTATGGAAAAAGTGCCATTTAGCAGGACAACTGCAGTTTGAATGCTTGTAAGCTGTTGCACCTAAACCATTTGAGAAACCCACCTGTAAATAAAATAAGGTTTAAAAAAAAAACACCCACAGAATTTGCGTTGTGTGGCCTTTAAATTAACAAAACCAACTGAAGTCCAAACTTAAAAAGAATTTGACATGCTGGTGGAAGAAAAGAAGGAATTAAAAAAAATAAAGTTAGTGAATTAAAAAAAATAAATTGTAGCACCAATCTGTGCCAACACGGACATCTGGCAATCTGTGGAATTCTAATTACCTCTTTACGCCATAGGCCATATTAAGCAAATTGTCCAGCCTGAAAAGAGAAGGAGGGTCTTTGGGTTAATGTCTCACAGATGGCAAGATCGCTCAATGGAACTATTATTAATAGCGTTCCATTTTCAAAGAAGAAACATGCAACAAGTTTCCCACACATCTAAGGAGCCTAACAACTCCCGGCCTGCTTTGTTAAGTCTGAGGTTGTGTTTAAATTTCCACCACAGCATTTAAAGTAATTTTTAACTTGTCTACAGTCTCAGAGAAAACCTCAATTTCCAGAGTTTGGTTTTAAAAAAATCCGATTTGTCTTTTTTAGACAATATTAGTATGAAATTTTTGCAAATCATTCAACTGTTCACCTTTTATTTACAGTTAACGTGGAAATAAAACAAAACTGCCAGAACTGGAAAAATTCTTGGTTCTAACTACTGTAACATAATACATTCTCCCCAGTGTAATACATATATTTAGTATCAATCCTCCATGATATGTCCATCTAAATGGCGACCAAATTCTGCAGAATATTATCTGCTTTCCATGGGAGCACAATCAAGTCCTTCTATCCATGGCATGATTCAGTGATTACCTCCATGGACACAGCTATGTGCCAAAGACACAAAAACAAGTATAAATTTAATGTATCTGATGACTGACTTTTTTTAATGATCTTTAATTCATTAGCACTTTTCATCACTGAAAAACTAAAACTACTTTTGAATAATTCTCTAAAGCCAGTATGCGACTCAGTTATGCCCATATGTCCAAGTTTTCTTGAAGGCAGACTTTTTATTTGAATACTAGGTTGCCGGAAAATTATCATTATATGTGTAAGTAATAAGAATATCATGTATTGCTAACTCTGGCTTACGTATCAGGTAGAAACAGTATATTCAGAAGGCAAAGCATAAAACATCCCCCAAAGTATCTGAGGAATCACACTAAAGACAAATACAAGGTCTCTTTATACTAAGAGCAGATATCTCAGGCTAATAAATTTAATGATACTGCTGCTGACTCGAACAGACTCAGCTTTTTTCCTGCTACCAATCCACTGTCATTAACATCAAAGTCTAAGCTGCATCAGAACTGAAATTCTATAGCAGAAAATAAAAGCATTACAGAAAAAAAAAGATAACAGGATAGTCACTGCACATTTGATTATCAGTGTAACTCTATTCTGTCCTCCCTTTCTCCATGAGTCTTCATGAGATCTGATTGTACAGTACTTCAGCTGTTTTAGTAAATATAACATGACTAGTGCTGTCAGCAGATTTTCCTCCTCATTCTCCAGGAAAGAATATTTAATTTTACAAAGAAAATCAGGTCAGCCTAAGCAACTAAAGTGTATTTTCCTGCACAGCACCTGCCCCACATTGTCATCGCTGGTGGAACTTCAGTTCTTTTCCAGGTAATTACCTGAATCTCTGAGCCTGGTGGTGAAGTGGTCCAGGGTAGCGTCTGTTGGGAGACTGATACAGCTGTGAAAGGAGTGCCTGGCTTGTTTTCTGGCTGGGGTTATTGGCAAACTTCACAGTAATTGGTTCTGTAGCACCACTAGGCTTCTGGCCATTTAGTCCCTTTATGGCTTCTTCTGCCTCTATTCTCTTATCAAAACGGATAAATCCCACACCTCGAGAAACCCCTGGGAAGTAAAAACATGTGAACAGATGAGTATTTGTAGAAACAGCCTCATCTATGTAACGAAGAAACTGAATGTTAGTTTTGACTTTGCAGAATACACAGCTTGCAAATTAACGGAAGTCCTATAAAGAAAAACGCCCTTCCCCAGCTGTGTTCTCCAAAATCAGCCCTACCATATTTAATATAATGATTTTAAGTAAACAACATTCTGCATTTTGCGATCCCTCATTAAAGAGGCAGCAGTTATGCCTCCGAACAGTTACACTTACAAGGAACCAGGTACTGCATTTCACACCAGAAGTCGTGTTGTCTCAAAACCCAACTGCCAGCAAGCATTTACAATTTTGCCATTTCCAGAAAAACATGCATATTTCAAAAGTTTTCTTTTAACCTGTAACTTGATCAACCAGAATCCGTGAGGTGATGATGCGCCCGTATTGTGAGAATAACTGCTCTAATTCTTTCTGGGTCATTGTTTTCGGAAGGCCGCTGACATACAAGTTCGCATCTCTGATTGATGCTGAACTTGGACGGGCATACGACACCTAGGATTGAAGAAAAGGAGAGGTGTTATTAGCAAGCTAGAGCCACCCTTTGCATTCTGAAGGGAGAGATTACTTTCTGTTCTTTCACAAGCAATAACCCTCCGGTTCAGGCGCTACCTGTTTCACGAGGCCAACAAAGCCAGGAAAGGACGGAAGAACAAAGGAAGATCTAGAGAGACCTTAAAAACAAACGCAAGGGTTCTTCAAGTGCAGGCATAAAATAACTACTGTTCAGAGGTAGGTTAATGCGCAACTTCCTACGCACAGCTTTGTTAAGTTTACCCCTATGGACTGTGGGTGTATGAATTGCTTACCATATCCAACATGTAATAACCTTAGCACATACGTCGCACTCTGAAGTTTCAGTACGTTTTTCTTCCCCGCTCCCCCCGCCCCAAGTGTCTGAACCAGATCAGGTTATTTGCAGAGTGATCTTTTGTACTAGCTCTCTTTTGTGTCCCCATCCTGAGCTGGCAAGATCCGTTCTGGATGAACAGTAAAAGTACTGGTGAAATTAGACTAAATGAACATCTGCTCTGGGAACCGTATACTGACACTCATGGTGTAGCTGCAGTTTATCACGAGAAGTTCCCTTGCACTGTAAGCCCAGAACCAGACCATAAAATATTCTGACCAAGCAAAGAAGAAAATCTGGAGGCACATACGCTGCCGGAAAATTATTAAATCAAGTCTGTCTTAACTGCTCTTCTACTCATGAATCAGATTTGTAATTGTAGTATGTGCATAAAAAGCCTTCTGCTTTTTATTTATTAAGATTTATTTATTTATTAAGAATAATATATACATTTAGAATACACACATTTAACATAATAAAAATACTTCCTGGGTAAAGCCTAATGGCAAGTATTCAGCATGGATCATGAGGAATTACTTTGCAATAAGTACATCTGAAATAGCACTGGATCTAAACCTGAATAGTTTGCACTTCATCTTGATTTATTTAAATACAAACAGATCGGTATGTTCCTGCATTATGTCTTAAAATGTGTCTTGCAGGAAACTGGGGGGCCCCATCACAACCACAACGCATTCAGCGACTGTCTTTCCCTCTGCCCCAGCCGTAGTCCAAACACAAATGATGTCAAATGCATGTCTTCATGTGTTTTATGTGTCAAAGAGTTGTCTTTATGTGCTCCACACCTAAAAATAGCTGTTGACTCACAGAAAATGATGTGAATGACTAATATTTGCTTCCACAATCTCCTCTGCATAATAGCAGACAAACTCTAAAGATTCCAGATTCTAAGGTTTTTGGCAACTTTTTTTTTATAACTTACATGTTTGTACATAACCTTTTAAATCTAACATTTACAGAGAAGGCTAGAGAGAGGAGGTGGAAAAATGCAGGGAAAGAAATGTGAAGAAGAGGTTAGATAAAACATTTGCATCCACTCAAGCTCAGGCACAGTACAAAGGCACACGCAGGCGTAACGACCGGAGAAACCTTCTGGTGCCGAGATCAGTGCTGAAACGGAGAAGGATACTGGGTGGAAACGATTTTGTGCCTCAGCGATTTAGGACCTCACAGCCCAGGAGCTCCTGATGGGGTGCAGCATTTAAGTCATTTAATCGCTGGTCCCAAACACCTCTCCAGTGCTCCAGGACCAGAACACTCTCAGCACCGCTTGGCTTTTATGTAACTAAGATCAAGCCGGGTGCTTGGGGAAAGCAGGAATAACTACACTGTGCTTTCAACTACAGATACCATGCCAAAAATCACTGGTTTTGACCGTCCTTGGTTCGGTGGTCTCATGCCCGCGGCTTCTCATTTATACCCCGTGCTGGGGCTTCCAGCAAAGACTCGCTCTCTCTCCACGCTCTGCAGATACGGTACCCTCTCAAGGTAAGGTAAGGGTTCAGGCACCTACAGTTTAACCTACTTTAGGAATAGCAGTTTAAAAAACACTTAAGAGCCTCTCTGGAGTGGGGGCCAGGACTTTACCTATTCCTCAAAACTGAGAGCTGCAAAATTAATAAAGTTCCTGGGAAAACAGCCAGGGGTTTCCTTTGGGTTTTCTCACTCTGGCACATTCATTAACCAAATGCCACATTACAGGGAAGATGAAAAGTATGGAGATAGGCAAAACAATACTGCTTCCTGGAGCACCGAGTGCCTGACATTTTATATATATATAATTCTACATACAGAAAATGCTCTGCTCTCATGGGCCACGCAGACACGCAGCGGTGGGAGAGACTGCACGCCCTCACAAATCCATCTACTCACAGTACACGCAAACTCCTATCGCCGCTCAGGGCTAATTTTTCTTTCCTCCTGCAATGAAACGTTCAGGTTGCAAGGCAGCCTGGGCCAGGGAAAGAAGCTGCCAAAAGCAACTCAGCCGTCTTGTAATATCAAGGAGAAAAGGTTGCAAGCTGAATGTACTCAAGGCTAGTCATGTCAATTATTTATCTGCTTTTGAATCTTTCTCATCTTCCCTCTCAGGTCAGCCAATGACAAATCGATCCGTTAGACTGTGCCATTCTGCTTTCAAGCTATTATTCAGTTAGTACTGAGGATGGGATGTCTTCCTGTGTATTAGCTATCAAAGGAAGAAAACGCCCACCCTGACCCTCCACCAGACCAGAAACTCCTTGTGCTGTGCAAGTTAAAATGGGAGCCAAAACCAGCTCCCATTTTATCACCAAACACTGCAAAGCGTTGGGTGAGGATGATGCATTAATTCTTTACAGTCACACTTAAGAATGATTTTTTTTTTTTTTGCTCATGGCGGTGTTAGCACCTTGTAATGAAATAGTGTGTCAAAAAAGAAAAGAATATGGAAATCCTAGCCACCACAAGAAATTCAAATTAATTGAGCTGGAGTATGCCAAGGTACTGACTGACCCCAGCATTTCCCAGCATTAAAGTGTTTGTCCACATGTCTGACGGTTGGAGGTCAAACATTGGTGTTGTATTTCACTGCATTAGATCATTTAGGAGTTCTTTGGTCAAATTCACAAGGAAGATAATAAAACATTGCACAATTCATTTTAGAGCTTGCTGGCCTCCGATGTTAGTTTCTATAAATATATATATACACACTAACTGTGAAAAACATCTGCTAAGATATTTCTTATCTGACATTGAACATTAGCCTGTGTAAGGGCTTCTCTTTGGTATTTAAACAGCCATCTCTCCAGAGTCTGCATGACTGTCTCCAAACACTACTGCAGAGTCACAGGGTCCAGCACTTCGTATCTTCCATGGTAATGCACATTTTTGTTCAACAGCACAGAAAATATCTCCAAGTTGAAGTAATTATCTTCTCTATTGATTTCCAACCCATTTTCCCATGTAGAAAACTTTTTGAAAATTCTCTCATCTCAAGACTCTTCAGAATGTAAATTGAAGCGGTTTGGTCTTTCCAAGTCAGAGCCCACAGCAAAGGCACCCAGAGGCATGAACGCATCCCATTTGTCTTAGAGGCGAGGCGCTGGACATGTACCAGCAACCATTTAAACACTGACACTTAACCACTTCACTGCTGCTCGTCCTGAGAGATGCCTTCAGCTCATACGCTAATCCCAGACTTCTCAAACATTAAGTCCGCTTCTAGAAGACTCCTCACAAAATTAATTGTCTTGTGGAGCAAGTCAGAATAACCTCTCAACTGCCATCTGCTCCGAAGAGGAAGGGCATCGTCCTTCCCTGAAACGATGTGCTCTGCCAGCAGAGCCACCCTGCCCCGCTCAAACCCCCCACTGACGACTAACCTAGCAGCTTGCATCTTTCACAAACAAAACTTCTCCAAGGAGATGTATGTCTTGCTCTACATCTAGCGTTACTCACCTGGGGAACATGGGACCAGTCAGGAGCCTTTAATCAGAGAGTGCTGCATGGCAGCACAGGCACCTACAGGCCACCAAACCACCCACCGATGGTCCCTGCAATCCCTGGGACATCTCTCCAGCCACCAGCAGGTAAGGTGCAGTCTGTGTTAAGTGAGTCCCTGGGCAGCTTTCAAAAAAGTTTGCGTAACATTCAAATATTAAACTTCTCGGTGACCTTAATTCTGAAAGACTTCGCTGTGTCTCTGTGTGACACACTCCGAGATGTAGGACTTCTCGCATGACTTTTGGGGTGAGTCACTTCGCTTTTTTCTGCCCAAGGTCCAGACATGTACAATGGGGACAACCCTTCCTTCCGTTGCTCATTACACTGGTACACACTGGAAGTGCTTTAACACTTAAACATACAAAAGTAGAAATAAAGTCCGCTTAACACCAGAGGACAGGCTATGGCCAGAAAAGACATTTCCCCAAAGCCACTTCCAGCCACTTCCCTCTCCCATGCGCTAATTTTGTGCAAAAATGCAGATCGAAGAACCCTCCAGTGAAAGCTACGTGTTGTCAGAGCAATCACACACAAAAACCCTCTGGTCCAGAGGCTGAAGACCAGAATCTGGAATACTTTCACATCCGCCACTTGCACTGCTTTGTCCTTTCTCCTCTCCAAGGCCTTGGCTGGGAGATGGAGGGGAATGACAATGCACTTTACTGTTGAGCAATTCAATGCCATTTTACCAGGATTAATTACGATTGCAGGTAAGAGACAACGTCTACCCCACCACTTCAGGCAAGACATCCATAGATAACCTCAAAGCACTCCGGCTACATCAAGACCAGGGCTGAGAAATAATTGCTCTGGCTCTGTGGAACAAAAGGATGCACTGGCAAAACAGAAGCAGTTGAAGAGAAATCTCAATTAAGACAAGATGCACAAAACTAACAGATAAAGACGCTGGTCCCTGCTGAAAGCAGCAGAGCCAAATCTGAACCTTCAAATGCAGCACCGAAAGGTCCTTTGAGCTGCAGCATCACTACAGGCACAAAGGGTGGAAGAAGAGTTGTTAACAAGCATTACAAAGTCCAAAAGGTTACACAGACAGAGGCTCCTAAAGAGCAAAACCAAAGTAAGCTTAGTTGAGGCTTCCCAGGTCTGTGGTGTCTTGAAAGTTTCCTGTCCGAGGCTTTGT